CATAGCGCTCGGGCAGCTCGGCTCTTAAACAGAGCCGAAGAGTCAGGGGAGGAGCAGAGCCGCCATTTTCCCGACATGTTCGGCTTTTTGGCAATTCCCCCCAGACGGGGGTTTGAGTGCTGAAAAGCCGGACATGTCCGGGAAAAAGAGGACGTATGGTAACCTAAAATAAACGGAACAACCCCAGAAGCAGCCCTAGGAGATATTATGAGTGGCATTTGGATGTTGGTGTTAAATCCCAGCAGTGGTTCCAGAACTGGTTTTCCAAGTCCCAGTTGCAAGTTCCTCCCTCAGCTCAGGGTAACTTGTGCACCACACAGTCTGCCAATCGACTTCCAGGTGAAAGCCAAGGTGACAGTTACTATCTCCAATGCCTTGAATAGCCTGGCCTGATTTGCCTGCGTGATCACCTCTTCCTCACTGACCCATTGCTATTTGTCCAGTTTTCATGAGAACCCCGTTCACACAGGAATTTATGGAATGGTACATCTCTGATAACATATAGTACATATATATCAAGTATTTGACACCACAGGTTTAGAGTGTTCAGTGTAGTTTTTTTCTTTCTTCACTAGAGGGAGTTCTTTTCCATTTTTATTATTTTCTCTCTCAGTTGTATGCTACCTGTGACAGCACATATAACCACTATTTCCATTGTACATGCTTCTCATTACTGTTGTGGAATTACGTCATTATTAGGGCTCCATGGCTATCACTGAAGTCGCAGAAGTCACAGATTCCATGACTTTCTGCGATCTCCATGACTTCTTCGGCAGCCAGTGTGGCTGACCCCAAGGCCACCCAAGCAGCTTGTTCCAGGGCCAGCTGCTCAGATGGCCCCGGAGATACCCACAGCAGTTACTGCTTGGGCGAGCCCCCAGCAGCCGTTCCCGGGCGGCTGGCCAGAGCAGCCGTGGTCCACTGGCCCCGGCAGCGGTCCCCGGGTGGCTGGCCAGAGCAGCTGCAGTCCGCTGGCGCAGGGCACCCACCCCAGCAGCTCCCCCGGCAAGATTTAGTCATAGGTATTTTTAGTATAAGTCATGGACAGATCAGCCATTAATTTTTGTTTATTGCCCATGTTTATTGCTTCTATTTGTCATCAAAATCCAGTTTCGGCTTTTGAGACAATTTTCAACCCTTTCTCAATTTAAAATACTAATTTTCAAACTTAACTTTAAATTTCATTCTGCTTCAGCTCACAACTAAACCCAGTTCATTTGATCCCACAAATCACATTCTTTCATCCTTTCTCTGTGTCAGAACTTTCAGTGCATTACTACTGCTCTTAAATTGCACCTTTGCCTTTTTATGTTAAAAGCATTTAGAACATTATTTTGTCTTGCTATCAGTATGAGTCACTGTAGTTGGCTAAAATTCTCATTGTCTCTCTTTTTACATGGTTCTTGGTGATGTTATATGAAAATGGATTATAAAGATACAATAGGAACAAATTCCTATTGTAACAACTGAACATACCCTATTTTGTTTAATAAAAATAAAAGAAAAGCTTTTTGGTTCCTACAGAGCAGGGGTCTCAAAGTCCCAGCCTGCGGGCCATCTGCAGCCCGAGAACCTCCCCACTGTGGAGGAGAGACAAATGCAGACACGTGGCCGGCAATGTCTGCTGCAGGCACTGCCCCCCGCAGCTCCCGTTGGCTGGGGAAGAGGGACAGAGATATCATCACTAGTCGCCAGGCAGAGTCAGCCATGGAAGCAGCATCATTAGTTGCCGGGCAGAGTCAGCCATGGAGGCAGCGGCACTTTTTTTCCCCACAATGAATATAAGCAAGTCAAAATACCAAACACAACTATCTGATGCACACCTTGCTGCAATCCTGAAGGTTTAGACTGCTTAGTCACTGAGGCCAAACATCAACAAACTGACAGAACTGAAGCGTTGCCAGGTGTCTGGCAAACACTAAAAACTCTCTGGCAGGCAAAGAATTGTATAAAATTGTATGACAGTTTTATTATTTCTAAGAAATTCAAAATAAAAAATACTATATAAACGCTTTCTTTTCTGAACACCATCTTGAGCAACGTCATTGGCCTGCTGGGAGGATCTGACTTTGGTGGGTCAGTGGGTGTATGACGTGGGGTGGGGGTAGGGAAGTGGTCAGGTCCCACTTCCGGGCAGTGACACCCCCCCCATGGTACACATGGTTGTGGGGCACCTCACCACTACCTGCCCTTAACATGATGCAGTCTTGTCTGTGCCCACTGTGGACCAGCTTCTTGACACCAATAGCCTCTGGCAGCACAAGCACTGCCTTCCAGGCCTCACTCTCTCTCTACAGGTAGCATTAGGCATACACCAACCCCCAAGTTCTCAGACCATTCCCCACAGCGTCCAGCCACTTATCCACTGAACACTCTCAGAAATACCAGGCCTGCTTTTCCCAAAGGAAGAGTACACCACCAGCTTGCAAGATTCAACTCTGGATCACCTCTCTGCTTAAAACCACAGCACTTAGATTGTATTTATAGTGAAAACAAGAGTAAGTTTATCAAAGAACAGCAATTCAAGGGATAGTAAGAACATTGAAAACAAAGGCTTATATATAAAATAAAATCATAACTTGCTTTCTAGAGACTAAACTTAACAGGTTAGCCTCCGGTCTAAAGAAGTTTCTCACCCAAAGTTCTCGCCAGTGTTTTCAACCAAACCTGACTACAACTCCGTCTTTCATGAAGCAAACTCACTGTCCTTTTACTTCCTCATTGAAGAGTTCTTGGATGTCTTCTTTATCCCCCACATATCCCCCACATCCCCCGCAGAGCAAATATTTGATGTGCACTTCAGGGAAGGGAAAGAAAACCCTATCTTGATTTTTCTCTTACTGTTATTTTCTTTCTTTGAAACTCTCAAAATCCTTCATTAACATTCAGTACAGACTAGTAATAGGAGACCCTTTGTGAACTATACAATACTTATTTTACACGTGAACAATCAGCTAGGTAAACATTTCTTGACTGACAAGAAACCTTCACAGTGTCAGTCCCTAGACACGGACTTTATAATATTGTATATACTTAGCTCCTTATACAACATGTGTTTCACACTAATATGGATAATCCAATGTAACACTGCCTTTTATTTGGGACCTCACATGACATTCTTTGGTGAATTATAATGCACATACCAGACTCAGGAGATTGCTGTAACTTCTATGCCCCCCCACTGTACCCCCTAACAGCTGACACCAAGAGATTGCTTGGTCACAGGGAGGTTGAGTTGGGGAGAGCCCATACAGCACAGCTTCCCGCTCTCGCTAATGTCATGTGAGACACAGCCACATGCAGGCAGGGCCCTCTCCCCTGGATGTTCCCTTCTCCAAGCTGGGCTGTGGCAAGCCAAATAAAGTGATCTGGCAAGCTGGAGGTGGTCCCCTGGGTTGCCAGTTGCTCATCCCCATTTTAAGTGATTTCTGTACAGGGGTTTTATGCAAAACTGTGCTTGGAGAAACTGTTTAAACCATTTTCTAGAACAAAGGAAACTGACCACAGGATACAGGGGAGAAGGGAAAGGCAGTGGAAAAAAGATCACTTAAAGAGCAAGAAACAAATAAAAACCAGAGAATTAAGGGGGATGGGGGGGGTAGAAATTTCCCTTCTTCATCCCTCTGATGTTGAGAGCACCTTCTAACAGGGAAACCATAATGAACTTGGCCTCTGCCTCTCAGAGCAATCACATAACAATTCCAGGTCTGGGCTGAGACAAAGGACCAGGCCTCCACAGAATTACACCCCCTTTTCCCCCAGCTAGAGAACCAGCCCCTGACCCTGAGCTACTCCCCCCACCCACAGGAGCCAGCCCCCTTACAGAGCCCCCAGCTATTCCCCCACCCCACAGGAGCCAGCCCCCTTACAGAGCCCCCCAGCTATTCCCCCCACCCCACAGGAGCCAGCCCCCTTACAGAGCCCCACCCAACAGGAGCCAGCCCCCTTACAGAGCCCTCCCCCATTTCTACCACCAGCCAGAGAACCAGCCCGCTCAACTACCCTCCCCCCTGCCAGGGAGAAAGACAACACCCCCACTACAAATCCCACCCTGTAGAGTCTGGCGCAGGCGTATTTCAACCCGGAAGGGGCGGAGTAAACTAAGTTCTCGCGAGATTTCTCGCCGAGCCGCGGGGGGATCTGCGCTGCATTGTGGGAGTTTCTTCCTTTCTTGTTGCCCGGCCATCTTGGAGGCGCGTCTCGGGTGAGCGGGGCTCCGCGGGGCCGGGCAGGGGCGCTGCGGGTCGGCCGGTACGAGGCACTAACCTTTCCTCCTTGCGTTTCAGCTACCGCCGGACCCGACACGAGGCAGCAACATGGTGGCCGCGAAGAAAACGGTGAGAGAACGGGGCGGGCCCGGCGCTCACGTGGCGGCGGCGGGAGGCTGTGGAGCGGCCCCGGGGCAGCTGCCTTGCGGGTGGCTGGGTCTCCCGAGGCTGCTGCTGAGAGCTGGGTGGCGGGGGAGCGGCCAGAGGTTTCCGGGCTGTCCCGGCGGTGGGGGCTGAAGGGGGAACCCGATGAATGAGGGGAGTGAAGCAGGGCGCGCCCCAAGGCGCTTTGGGAGGCCGGCCACTGGGCTCCTTCAGCTCGTAGGAGGTGCTCGCTCCTGGCGCAGGGCGGTATCGGCCCCCTTGCTGTGGGGGCTGCCCCTCAGTTCGCTCTCGCCTGTTTCTTCTGAGTCTCGCTATCACTGTCAGCCAGATATTCCCTCACGTGTCGATATCCTCCCCTCGAGGCGTTGCGAGCTACCTTTGTGCGGTCAGGTTATTGCCTAATTATTCCAGAACAAAGTTTGGGTGAGGGTCAGTGCATTTAAGCGTCTGTTCTTATATGTTGCTCTACCCTGTGATTAGCATTGCATTTATTTTTGTACACTCGAAAGTATGGGTGTCGTGCCGTAACATGTCCTCTGTATTTACAAAATTCACTACCTAGTTGCAATATGCCACAAAGCGTCACTTCAGCATCGTGTTACTAGTGATCACTGTCATTGTTATATTGCATGAAATGTATACACAGGACAGGTCAGACTGCAATTTAGAATGGAGTAACTTGATGCTTCTTTCTAAACCTGGCTTAGCCTTGGTAAATTGAAAAGGGACCTTTGAGTGTAGGATCCCACAAATATTCTGACACTAAAAGGGGTAGGGTCAGGCTGGAAGTTCAGAATAATATAACATAATTTGTATAGTAGCTTTTTTAAAAAAAGTCAGTTAATTTCTCCTTGCATTTAAGAGAGGTAAATAAGGGGACTAGCTTGAAGTCTGAGAAATGTTGTCATATTGTGTTAACACAACATTTTTATTTTATTGACAAGCTTTTTCTTAACTTGGATATTTAGATATGAGCTACTTAATATTTTGCACTATAAATAGTAGAAAGCTTAGTGAAACAAAAGACTTGTGTTTAGTTAAAGCTCTTTAAAATTGTTCATTCTTTGTATTAATCTGCACTACTCCATATATTTTAACTCTGTTGCAGAAAAAGTCGCTAGAGTCCATAAACTCAAGGCTTCAACTGGTTATGAAAAGTGGTAAATATGTGCTAGGGTACAAACAGACTCTGAAAATGATTCGGCAGGGCAAAGCCAAGTTGGTCATCCTAGCCAACAACTGTCCTGCTTTGAGGTAGGTACCATTATATTGGAAATTGGACTTCCTGAAAACTAGTTTTAGAAAGATACTTTATCCGCATCTGCTTTATGCTGTTCACAGTGTGAACGTTTTTAGTACAGTGCGCTAAACAGTCCTAGTTCTACAATGTTACAATATTTGCTGCAAAACAGGGCTGGATCTCTGGTGCAAGTTGCATGTGTAAACAATGCAGGACTGAGCTTGTAAAGTGCTTTTAAATTATGCTGCCTAGCTTCTGTACAGCAAAGGAAGCTTATACTAAAGAAAAAACTTTCTACAGGTGGTATGACTCAAATAAGGGTCTGGCAAAGTGGTTGTTATGCAGGTGGGGAAGGAATCTTAAAGGGCTTCTACTCTCTTCTCCCCCCCATTTTGAAACCTCATGCTGTGTGGGCTGGATCCGGTCTGTCATCAAATAGCTCAGTGGTTTGAGCATTGGCCTGCTAAACCCAGGGTTGTGAGTTCAATCCTTGAGGGGGCCACTTAGGGATCTGGGGCAAAATCAGTACTTGGTCCTGCTAGTGAAGGCAGGGGGCTGGACTCGATGACCTTTCAAGGTCCCTTCCAGTTCTAGGAGATGGGATATCTCCATTTAAAAAAAAAAACAAAAAAAAAGGGTTTGGTGGCTTTGAAAATAACTTTTTATGAGGCGTTTCAAGATGCAGAAAAGGGATTCAGACCCTGTAGTGGCTGGAGCTATTGGGGGAGGGGAGACAGGTTGATGTGGATGTGCACAGAGTTTGGATTGCTGGAGGGGACCAGTGGTGGTTGACAAGACCTGCAGCTCATAGAGGCCAGGTGAAAAAGGGGCAAGCTAGGAATGTGAAAGAACCTGCACAATTCACTTTAATGCCTCTGTCACCACCAGAAGCCCAGGTTCCTGCTTCCCTGTCTGCTCAGCATCTGGCCACCTGCCTTCCCCAGCCCTCGTAAGGCTACGTTTTAGTCACAGGCATTTTTAGTAAAAGTCATGGATAGGTCACTAGCAGTAAACAAAAATTAATGTCCTGTGACCTGTCCCCTAACTAAATCTTGGGGGTGCAATAGGTGCTCTGGGGGGAGCAGCCTAGGACCATTGCTTGGGGGAGGGTGCGGGGGTTTGGCGATGTCCCTCCCTCAGCTCCAAGGTGGAGGTGCGGCCACGCAGTGGTGGGCTAGGAGCTGGGGGAGGGAGGGAGGGACATATCACTGCTTCCAGGGAGCCCCACTGAGGTAAGTGCTGCCCAAAGCCCTCACCCCATCCTGTGCCCCAACCCCCAGTCCTGAGCCTCCTTCCACATCCAAACGCCTGCTGCTGGGGGAGGGTGCGCATGGCGCAAGACTGCCCCAGCAGCAGCTGACCACTGCAGAAGTCACGGAAAGTCACGTAATCCTTGATCTCCTTGACAAACTCGCAGTCTTACTCATCAGCTACAGGTTCCAATGACCAACCCATCAAGTAGTCTTGCTCACTCCCACACTCTGTCGGCAATCTACATTTGCATCTCCTGTAAGCCCTTTTTCCCTGTACAAGGGAGCCTACCTGCTATTTGAGCAGCCCCTGGGGCCTCTCTTGGAAAAGATAACGGCGCTAACCAGAGCTGCCAAACCCCATTCCTAACCAACAGAATCCGACTCCTACATCCCAAAGCTGTGATTGGGAAGTCAGACCTCCCCTTGGGGGAAAGATGGTGACTGCCCCCCAACACAAACCTCAAGTGGAGGAATAAAACTAACTTCACTGCTCAATCTAAAACTTTGGAAGTGTAGTTAGGATTCAAACTGGTCTAATAACATCCCATTGAAGGATTCATTTGATGGGAATGAGTGAGTGTACCATTTTCTGATATGTCGTTTTTTAATTCTCAGAAAATCAGAGATTGAGTACTATGCTATGTTGGCAAAGACTGGCGTGCATCACTACAGCGGCAACAATATAGAATTGGGTACAGCATGTGGAAAATACTACAGAGTGTGCACACTGGCTATCATTGATCCAGGTATGTATTCTAGCTTCTTGCTTACCTGTGACTCATCACCACAAAACGTTCACTGGATTTGCCATTCTGTTTAAAACCAGGATCCAGGGCCTGGACAGGACTTACAAAACACAGAACATTTTATATTAAAAAAAAAAAAAGTAAAGCTCGTTTGCTTGACACAGCATGTTTTCTTTACTGGGCTTGCTTCACCTCAGCAACCTATTTTTCCCACCAGGAATGGGGTCTTTAGAATACTTTGCAGTCTGTGCTAATCCTGTTTACGATTGGCCAGAATTGGCTTGGAAATATGATCTCTAATCCAGTTTCTTATTTGACATCTAAGCTTGAAAGTGAACAGGATTGCTTAAACTCTAACCTTTTTCATTTAAAAAGATTGTCATCAGCAGTGAACAAAGATAATTACCATTGGCAGGTGATATCTCTGGGCCTAAAGGCTGACTGTTAGAACCTCTAAGATGAACTCTTAATTAAGCAATTTCTTGTCTTTATTTTCCCCACAGTATCTATAAACATAGTCCAATCTTGCTCTATTTTAGGCAGTGTCTCTGTTTAGTTGCTGCTTTGTCAGCCACTTTGAATGGCTGCTTAAAGATGGATTTCACTGCATTTCAGTATGCATCTGTATGGAATTGTCACTGAGTGACCATTTGAATTTTCACTGTAGTTATCTGCTTATGGTGCATATGATATGAATACAGTATATTTTGCTCTCAAACTAACTTCAGCAAAACCTAATTTATAATGTTTCAGATTTGACTTGTGAATAACTATTTTAATATAATGGCTACATGCAATATTTTCTTAATTTTAGTTGTATGATTTAGCTCTTAAGTCTGTACAATACCTCTGCTTTTGAGTTGGTATTGCATATCCTGCAAATATTGTCACTGTCCTGATAGTTCAGTGATCAGGCTAGTCACTTGCTATATTAAAACTCTACAATGTGTCCCCAGGACTTGCTTATTTCTCTAGTTTCGTGTTTTAATGGCTAGTGACATGTATGGAATTTTCATTTTGTGTTATACATTAGTATAATTTATATAGAAACAGTTTTGACATCTTGATTTTTAAAAGGAAAGCATTTATTATTATATTAGTATACTTCTGAGTATGGTCTCTATCCTTCAAAACTATTAGTTGGTGCCAAAACTTGTTTTTTTTAATTAATGTGATAGAATTTTCAAAAGCCAAGATGTAACAGATTTGTAAGTGGAAGATATTGATCATTGTGGAATGGAAAACTTAAAATAGCTTCCAAATAGTTGTCCGGTATTTGTAAATGGATTTTGCTGTGGCCCCTTTCCTGAGATTTGATTATGGCTTATTTTTCCATTTACAGGTGATTCTGACATCATTAGAAGCATGCCAGAGCAGACCAGTGAGAAGTAAAAGCTGGAGAGCTGTCATCCTTTCTATAATAAAACTGGTTATAGACTTGTTTAAAAAAAAAATGTATTTTGTATTAATTATACTGTTGCTAGTTTGGGGCACAAGTTCGCAAATAGAGATTGATTACCATGGCTGTGCCTCCTTTCCTGTTACAAATGTGTTCTACAAAAAACAGTGAAACTTTCCAAAGGCTTTGGATTTGAATAGGGCAAGTAGAATAAGAATCCCTGAAAATCCTAATAGTTTGTGCTTTATTTTGTTTTGCATGGTTAATTTAAGAGTAGGAGGACATAAAACAGCCTAAAAACTTAATCTAATTTCATTTAAGGTGAGTCTGAGGTAGGTAAGCAAAGTGTGGGGTTGGGAGAATTTTGTTTAAAAATGTATAGAAGGAAGAGACTTATTTGAACTAAAAATTACTTTTTTTTTTAAGATCCAGGAAAGAGATGAGATTTTTTTTTTTCCTCTTCATTCCCAGGGAAGTGTTGGAATTATTTATGTAGGGTATAATTTTAACCATAAAATCTTTTATTAAATCAAAAGACTGAATGGTATTTATAAAACTGCTCTAAATGTGCGTAAAAAGCCTAAACAACAAGCAGCTCACTACATTCAAGGAGTAACAAAACATTTATAAGCATTTGATCAAGATACTTACAAATGATCTAGGCACCCTGGCTTTAGCCCTCTATTGGTTGGCTCCAACTTGGTCAGGTAGGTATTAGCAGTGAATCCTTGAGTTTACTTTTTTTATATATGCTTTAACAAACATGAGATTATTACCAATTATCAGACCTTAACAAATAGGCTATAGAAGAAACTCCTTCATCTGGCCTTATTTACTGCACCTGGTACCCAATTAAGAGTTATTTCTTTGCTTTAGCCCAATCCTTAAATGAGGTAACGCTGGCATTTTGAAGGGTCACTACAAGTTTGACACTTCTCATGATTTCATTCTTTTTGGTTTCATGTTTTGGGTCTATTCATGCTAATATCCCAACTCAATTGAAAACCCTAGTTCACCCAAATCTAATGTGGGCCTATATTTCTAAAGGGAGAGTTCATTTCGGTATATTAAAATAGTGTTTATAAAATCTAAGTGGCAATGAGGTATACTTTTTTTAAAGTTACTAGGCTGGGTGCCCAACTTGAGACATCATAAAGGGACTGGTTGTTTTTATAGAAAGTACTATGCATCCCATCTGCAGATGATGCTTTTTTTTAAGGAGATTTATTCAGATAATTGGTTATGCTTGAAAATGTTTGGTCTCTGCTTCTGGACAGGGACCATCTTTCTCTTTGTACTGTGCCTACACTGAAGCCCTGATCACTGGTGCTATTTTAATACAAATGAGTATTTAGATGTGAGCGGTTAGCTCTCTGCAGGCATCTAATAAAAAATACACAATAAAAATACAATTTCTCTCATAGGTGGCTCCAACTTTTCAGCAATCTATCTTTAATAGAGGCATACAAAATACACATACACAGAATTGTAGTAAAGTGTATTTCCCCTTTTGATGTATGCTGAATCAGTCATTGACTATTAATATTAAATCTGTTCTGAACTGTAAGAATCCCTTCAAGTGACATCCATTATACATCACAATAAAACATGAAGGAAGTTACTTAACTAAATCCTCTGATATTAGAAGAATTAACCCCACTGATCTTTGACTCTTAGGATCCTCTCGTTAAAAGGAAGTTTATTTTAAAAATGATTATGAAATGTACAATTTGCCTGTTTAAATTCCAGTTATTCAAATTGGACAGTTTTTACTGGATACCACTTAATTTGTATGCTAAACAAAAGTTAATTGTCTATATGTAAACATTGAGATTTAAAGTTCGGGGGGGGAGAGACATTGTGTGTGCCAGGATCCATCAGCCACCATATTCAATTATAGGCATAATATTTGTATTTTGGGTGTCTATAAACTCCCATGAGCAGATACTAATGCTGATATCAAGCAAAACAAACTGTTGCTGTATGCTAGGAAGCATATAAGATGAAACTCTTCTCAGTTCTAGAAAGGGATGTGTGAGCTAAATGTCAGATTTGAAACCTCTTACTTAACTAAAGCTCTAACAAGCTATATGTAACTTTTTTTATGACTAGTCTGAAGAACTAATGGATCTTTTGCGCGCGCACACACACAAATTGGATGCAATCTAACAGCATGATTACAGAATGCCACCACTTACTGCTTCAGTCTAGTTTGAGACTACCATTGTAAAACAGTCATGTTTTTCTTTACCAGTTAACATGTTGCAAGGGGAGATGTGTATTACGAATTTGAGTCAAACCAGTAAATACTTTTGAAAATTAAATCTATTCATTCTCAAAAATGAATTGTACTTAAGTAGATATAAAATTAACAGGACATTACAAGATATGTTTACAAAGCAGTATAAGCTAAAGCTGTATACATTCATGCAAGAGTTGCATAATTGTCAAGTACCCAAGAAAATGGTCTTCAAGCTGTTGTGTTGTAAACACATGCAAAATTTGGAGGTACCAGGAACTGCAAACCATTACTCTTGAGTCTGCATGGAGGGATGTCACTTAACCCCACAAACTTGTTCCTGTAATATTTGCATCCTCACAATGGATGAACTGCTCTTTAACAAGAAGGTGCAAAAAAGGCTACTGCTTTTTTGGACAGAAAAGCTAGGAAATGACTATTTTGACAAGCTGCAATCAAAAAGGAACATGTATACTTTGAACAGGGGACTGGACTAGATCTCCTGAGGTCTCTTCCAACACTAATATTCTATATTGCTTGCCTGTACTTTAAATTGTTACATGCAGAGCAAGAAAAAAGCAATATAAAACTCTCCAAGGAGAGAGGATGGCAGCAACCTAAAGGACTTTGGGAGGGAGAGAAAACACCTTTCAGGTGTCTTGGGAAGAGAGATGGTTTTCATCTGTAAAAGTGTCCATGTTCCCCTGAGAGAACATCTGCTGTCACAGCTGTGGCCTAAGACATGTAAGTAGATTTACTCATGACCAAAAGGCTCCCACAGGTGGTAATTTTTTTTTTCAGAGACTGGAAGAGAGGGTGAAATTGCAGTTCAGGAAAGCTTTTGCCCAGCACCGTTAAGTTGAAATCTGGGGTTTTGTTGTGGTAAGAAACAAATTCAGTGTCACTTTGAAACTAATTTTATTTTTAATTTTTTAATTTTATTTTTTTTAACACTACCACATTGAATAATTAGTAATTTGCTCAGCTCTACTGTTGAGTTATCCAACAAGTGTAGGATTGTTTGGCCTGAGAGAATCTGCTTCAGAGAAAACAGTATCTTCTATATGGCTCTCAAATTGGAATATTTGAATGTAAATTCACCTGAGGACCATTCTCCCTGAAACATTTAGTGCCCCATATTCTGCCCTTTATCTGGAGGAAACTTGCATGACTAGGCTAGATAGAACACATAAGAAAAGACCCTTGACCTGAAGAGTTTACAAGGTGATAGAGTAGAATATAGACTGGGACCCAATAATTGTGAATTCTGTCCAATGACTAGAGTGCTAGGTGAGAGGACATTGTGTGTGTTCTGGATGTAGAAGGCAGATGGCAAACTTACTTGAATGTTGCTCAAACACCTGGAATACTGGAAGAAAACACTGTAGTTGGAGTTAATGTATACATTTGTGATGCAAGTAAAAACCTTATTAAGCTAGTCTACACATTCCCTCATAGCTAGTTTTCTATAGACAATGTTTTATGCTAGGCAAAGGAGAGTATACATGAAACAATTGTTTCATAGTCGCATTTGTGCAGCACACTTAATATTTTTAGTATGATGGAGGGGGTGAGAGGTGGAGCACAACTAATAAAGCAAAAATGATTTACAGAGTATATTAAAGTAGAGTCATAGATTCCCAGGCCAGAAGAGGGCCATTGTGATCACTAGTCTGACCTGTGTAACAGACCATAGAACTAACCCAAAATAATACACCAGTAAGTAAAAATACCCAAACACAGCATGGAGGTTTCAAATTAAAAATAAAAGCATTTTATTAGATTGCATAGCTTATAAATTCAAGTGTTAAATTCTACTTAGAAATTTTGCTAGGTACTATAAAATTTTTAAAGTTCCTTTCAACATTTGTCTTACTGCAATCAATGCAAGAGAACAATATGATGCTCTACCTCAGTATGTAAATATTGGGTCCAAAAATGTCCTTTTCCCTCAAACACAAAAAGATTTGTGCTACATAGCTTTGTACTGCTTTAAGAAAATAGCTTTGTTGCAACTTGTATGTATAAATATACAGTACAGTGTATACTTCTGTTAAGAACTCTTCATCAGTATCTTAGTCTGTTTTCCAGGGCTTCCATTCTCTTAGTTATTTCTTCCAGTATTAATAAGTTAAGGAAAAAGCTATCTGGATTACATAGTATTATACAAAAACTTGCCAGAAAGTCCTTCAAATATTAATTTGATTCTCAGCATACTGAAGGGAAGGTGAAATCATTTTTAAAATGACAGTAATTTGACAAACGTCATGGCAGCCTCTAAAACTGTACACGCCTGTATTTGTAACAAGCTAAATATTATAGTCTGTTGTATCCAGCACAACGCTGCATAGTTTTCTACTCAGCATTCTGGCATCTAATGGCTACATTTTTCTTTCATTATCCTTTAAGTGCCCCCTCCTCCACACCCCCAACTTATTACGGAGGGAAGAGAGACTATAACTGCAGCAGATGCTGCTGGTTGTGGGGGTTTGTAGTCTGCTACTGACGTGCTGTTGCTCTCATTCTCCACTCCCCTCAGCCCTATTTCCTCCTTTTCAATGCAGGGCTAGGCAAAGGAACAAAGGGAGCTGTATGGAGCCCAATATGGAACATTACAACTGGGTTTCTTTATCACCCCTAAAAGTTTTGTTGCTTAACATTTAAAGTGCTGTCCACTAGCATTACCAAAAGTACCCATAGACAGGAGTTTCAGGTCACTGCTTATATCTGCTTCGCACAGTGATAGGAGAAAAGGGGCTTCTATTGGCATTTTAAAGTGAAGTGAAACTTTGTTCCTTGCTAGTGCAATCTTTAAAAATGTTTCAGCTACTTACCACTATGAAGCATTATTTATATATAAACATACTATTTACATTAGATTAATATGGAAGACACATGAAGTCCCTAACCCACAAATAGATCTGGTACAATACAGGAAAACATGTAGTTATGAGTACTGTACTATTTGAGCACCTCATGATATTTAATGTGTGTATCTTCAAAACTTATGAAATGCTATATCCCCATTTTACAGATGGGGAACAGACAGGCTAAGGGCTGGATCCACAAAGGAGACTGGGCTCCCCATTTGTGAACTCCCCATTGTTGGAGGTTTTAGGAATATATTGCGCAAACACCTGCCAGGACTGGCCACTGGACTTGAGGACCTCTCAAGGTCCCTTCCAGCCCTCCATTTCTCATTCTTTGCAACACCTAACTTCTAGGTTCTCTACTGCCTAGTGGAATCCGCAGGGGGGGAATTGTGTGCGTAAGAATGGGATCCACAAAAGCCAGCATGCTGAGCTGGGAGCTGTTTAAGCTAGTGAGCAGAAAATTTGTAGAATGAGTGCAGCCTAAGCAAGCTTTCCCTCCAAAGGGAGTTAGGCACCTAACTCCAGGCTGCAGGAAGGTGGCTGTTGCTGCTTGGGATTCATAGCCATGAACCTTTCCCAGAGTTAGATGCGTAAGCCAGGTCAGCTTTTTCCTGCAAAAAAGAGGAGACTAAAAAAATGAAAATTGAAGCCAGAAGTGGTTTGTGTGTGTAAAATCAGTCATCATCACTGTTCTCTGTATAATATCCTGGCATTTTAATTTGGAAATTATCTTAAGTGACTCGTTGCATGTGGCTATTCCCTGAGCACAGCAGGAGACTTCTCTTCTGTATTCTGATACAAGAGTTTCCTGTTGCCAATAAACACTACTCAAAAATAGTATGATGGAGGATTAAAATTTCAGCCGAAGTGATAGCCAAATCCAGAGAATAGGATTATAGTCTCAAAATCAGTATCCATTTTCTTTGCTGCCCTATACCCTCTACTCACCTGATCTAAGATGGAGACTTATCTTGCTATTCAGTGGTTATGAAACATTTAAGATGCATGTTTATGAATAAAAACTTTGGTCCGTTCATTGAAGGAGCTGTGTAAACAGTAGTAGAATTGTTTCCGTTAATAAATTGCTTTTGGGCCCAAGGAGACATCTGAGACTTTGAGTTTTAAGTGTGTGGCCCTAATTAGCATTTATTGTAACTGTCTTCCCCCTCCCCCCCCTTATAAATAATTTCCTTTCTACCTGTGATCCAGGAAACAATTATTCAGAAAGGATATATCGCTGAGTTAGTTTTTTTACTTCAGCATTGGCATGGTTCTGGAATGTCATGAGATTTTCACAGTTGCACTGCTCCTTATCTTTTGAAGGGTTTGCTGGAAAAGCAGACAGAGGCATTCAGAGAAACAGTGACATATAATCTAAATATACTGAATCTGCAAGAGAATGTAGCCACTAAATGCAACGTATGTTCAATATTTTCCTGGCATTGAAACATAGTATAATCACTATCAAAAGATGCACATATCAAATCCCAGTTAAATACTTAGCTGTAATCATCACAGAGGAGGAAGCACTTAGAGTGGGTACTATGAAGAAACAGGTAGGCAAGGAACGCCACTCTGTGGCCAGCATTGTTTATGAATTTCCAGTCTTGACATGTCTTTCTAACTTGTGTAATCAAAGGAGAAGGCTGGAATTGCCTAAAGATTACCTGAGGCCTGGTAACTAATTACCTGATCTTGCTGTTGACTGTGAAACACTCTCCTCTTCAAAAAGATACTTGTGATGTACTGCAAAATTGGAACAGGCAAGGAGGTCTGTGACGGCTATGCTGGCTGGTTCAGATCCTGCAGGAAACCCCAAGACAGAACTGTGGTCATGATTATGCAACACATCTATTGAATTTTGTATGTAACACCTTATTCATTTAAGGCCAGATTCGTCCACTCACCCACTGATCAGCACCTTAATCCAGTGGATTTTAGCAGGGACTTCTAATGGTGTAAGGTTCTACTCAGAGTTTGCATTTTACACAAAGAATCTGAGCTATTAGATGGTATACTGTAGATAGACTGTTTAAGTGTTGTATTCCAGGCCAGGAGAGGGACTTCAGCTCTGTATTGGTTACTGTTAAGCCAGAGCACTTTAGAGTTTCTTAAATAGTAAATGATCATGTAAATAAAAACGTTTTAAAGTACATCAACGTACAAGGTTGATGTGGAAGTTGCAGCATCCAAGTAAACTACTCCGGGGGATAAGGCGAGAGCATGCAGCCATAAGCATGTTGCAGCAAAGCTCAGATGACCAAAAAGGGTTTGTGGGGGATTTTGGTTTTTTGGTATGGGTATCCCTCTGGGTGAATGATGAACTTTCTATACTGGATGCCATGAGAAGAATGCTGAGTGGGGAGCCAGCTGAGGTGAAAACTGGACACAGATTTAAAGCATCTAACCTGAAGAATGAGGACCAGTCTTGTGAGGTCTCCCTGTCAGTGGATCCTGATGGGGATCTGACTCTTCCAAAGCTGGCAGAAACAATTCCCAAAAGAGAAAGATATTAATAGAAAAAATGATTTTATTACTTTGCACAGAACAGTAACTTCCAATGACAGGAAAATGGTATTTCTTTCCTGATGATTTTCTGTTAGCAGCTTCCCTCCTCGTTCATAACAAGTTGGCAATGGCTCTCCTGTGTGGAATTCAGAGGGGGCTCAGCATTATTGCTGGAGGCTCCAGGACTAAGCCCTGCCTTCATCTTAGGCCATCAAAAGAGTTCTTCTAAAGCTAGAAACACTTCAGCAACTGACTACTAATAACTTAAAATTATATCAACTAACCCTAAGTCAGTTACAGAAAAATTTCAGGTCAAACCCGCCATGGCTGTGTGCGTGTGGCCCTGGCTTGCCAGTCTGACTCAAAGCCCCATGGCCTGGCAGAGTGAGCAATGGTGGCTTGCAGCAGCAGGGCATAACTTGCCCTCTGAGGCTCCTGAAAAGCTGCCTATAGCACCTCTTAGACTTGTCTTGATGCTTGAAGGGCTTCTCTGCTACTGGGCAGGAGGTACAGGGAGCCAGCTAGAGAGATGCTGCACTGGAGGAACGAGGGTGTTAGAGCCAGTGATTCCTCAACTGAAGGGAGGGTGAGAGGAGCTTGCTGGAACAGTCATTGCTGCACAACAACAAATACAAATTAAACTTCTAAATAAAACAAAGTGGTTGTGAGAAACTGAGCTGCCAATTTGTTCCATCACTTGGGGCGGAATTTCTGGTGGCCCACATTAAAGCGTGGTGCTTAGTCAGGGTGACCAGATGTCCCAATTTTATAGGGACAGTCCCGATTTTTGGATCTTTCTCTTCTATGGGCTCCTATTACCCTCCACCCCCATCCCGATTTTTCACACTTGCTGTCTGGTCACCCTATGCTTAGTCCTGGAGCCTCCAGCAACAACCCTGGGCAGCCTCCCAGTTCCACAAGTGAGAGGTATTACCCATTTGTAATGAATGCAGAGACAAGCTGTGCAGCAGAAAACCAGGAGGCAGACGGACACATCAGAGTTTCTAGTTTGGAAACGGCCTCAAAGGGGCAAGATTTACTTATTTTTGGTTTAGCAAATAACACATTTCTGAAAAGTAAATAAAATGTATGGCAAACAGCACTGCAGCTATCTAAAGCTGTTTGATAGGGAGAGAGATTTATTAGAAGAGTTGCCTGAGAATTTTGGACTTGGAATCTCCCTATGCTTTTGAAATTGTCATCATCTGTTTGCCTACCTAGTATGCAGGTGGATGAACAGAACTGCTTTCCTACAATCTCAGTATTTTGCATGTCCAAGGGAGCTAGCAATAAGCTCCTTAGGGTTGAGGCAGAGGCAGAGGATACACAGTCTGGCTGGAGGGTCCCCAGTCAGATTCTTTTTCCTGACTCCTCCCAAAGCCCTGCCTAAAAGGAAGAATGTGTCGCTTCCTACCAGGCAATCCTGCACAGCAAAGAGCCCTCTAGAGTTCCTGGGCTTCATTCTCCTGTTACAGGAAGTGACTTCAGGCATCTATGTGAATGAGCAAGTAATACTGAGTGCCAGTTGTGTGTGAATGGGTGCAGGGGCGTCATTAGGTCCCTGGTGAACAGGGGTCCATTCCAGCTCAGAATCCCCCCACCCCTTGAACACATGTTATGGGAAGCAGGTCTAGAGTGTGGCTGCTAGTGACACAGTGGGGGCAGGGCAGGGGAATGATTTTGGAAAGTCAGGTTCTGTGCTCATGGATCAAAGGACTGGTTTGAAGCACAAACTGGTTGTTTTTCAGTTTTCTTACTGGGTACATCAAATTATTTTGTTGCTGTTGTGAACACTGCACAAAAGCCCGTAAGAAGTCGTCCTTAAGTCTTTTTTTTTTTTTTCTTGCTGAGCCCTACCACTGACTTACATAGGGAGATATCGGCAACATTCCCCTACACCGGAGGTCCTCAAATTGTGGTCCGTGGACCATCAGTGGTCTGTGAGCTCCTTCAGGTGGTCCACGGATAGTTCCCTCTAAAGTGCGCGCCTGGGCAGCTGCACACGAGACAATGAAGGGTCACCCACCTAATTAGTGGAGCTGCGCAGACATGGCTCCACTAATTAGGTGCCTGGACCCTGGAGAAGACGCACATGTAAGGTGAGGTGGTGGCCTTGAGGGAAATAGGGGGTAGGGGGGTGAGAAGAGGGGGTGGGGGGAATTTGGGACGTGCAGGGCTGCAGTGGCCAGAGAAAGGTGACCTTCCTCAGCTCCAGAGCTGCGGCTGCTGGGCAGAGACCCCTGTCCTTCCCAGCCCCAGCTCTGTGGCTGCTGTGGTGGGGGGAGATCCCCCTCTTTCCCAGCCCCAGCTCAGGGGCTGCCACAGTGGGATGACCTCCCCTCCTTCCCAGCCCCAGCTTGGGGGCTGCCGCAGCGGGGGAGAGAGGTACAGACCCCCCTCCTTCCCAGCCCCAGCTCAGGGGCTGTGATGGCCAGGGGAGAAAGGGCACATCCATCGCATTACAAAGGTAAGACTACTGATATTAAAATATTAGTTTTGTTCTTCTATTTGTAGAACAAATTATTCTATTTGTAGAATGTTAATTATTAAGTTTTTTTATATATAGTGCTTTTATCCAAAGCTCTTTACAATAGCTAGCTAACGGTACGAACAACATTTGGAAAGATCATTAAGTGGTCCACTGAGACCCTCTGCAATTTTCAAGTGGTCCGCAAAAAAAAAAAAGTTTGAGAACCACTGCTCTACACAATTTTAAACATGACTCATATAGACCATAAGTGCAATTGTTCTCTCCCAATAAATCATCATTTAGATTTCCCCTCCCCCCACAACCAATATTCCTAAAGAAATAGCTCATGTTTATCCTGGGTGGGGTTCACTGATCTAACTGCAGCCTGGAGGAAGGGGGGCAACATTACCAATCCTCCTGGGGTTTAAGTGTATATTTTCTGCATCATTTATTAAAAACAGAAGAGAAGCAAAATATAAATGGCTGTTCACTTTTCTAATCTCTCAACGGAAGAGGCATGTGGTACCTTCACAGATTCGTTTTTTTAGTTTTTCACTTATCTCCCCCATGGTACTGAAGTCTTCAGCATAGAAGAGATGTTTGTCTGGTGGCTCAGAAGCAATTTCCAGTAATTCTTCCTCAATTGCTTTTCCTATTCCAACAGCATAGATAGTTATACCTGGGTGCAAGAGAAATGGCACATTATTACTACAGCAACATTTTTTTAAAATCCAGAGTTTCAGTGAAAGGAAGATGTATTATTGATTACTTATAGCACCATAAATGTGCATGCCATATAACTCCAAGGATTGTGTTGGATGAATAATCCTAGTTACACTGAGTTATATAACATCTGAAATGCTGTAGAAACTGACTGCTTTACTGTTGGTTTTATTAACAAACAAGTCTTCAGCTAAAGAAGCCATGGGCATATGGTTACCAAGGAAGATAAATGAATCCCAAAAGAGCACTGTGGCTGCAACATACTGAGGGAGAGGGAGCACCTCTGATCAATTTAGCAGTGGCATTGAGAGACTCTGGAGGGACACAGAGCTCATCAGTCCCTTTTTTGCTGAAATGATAGATAGACTTGATGTAGTAGCAAGGCAGGCGGGGCACAGAATCCTGAAAGAGATCAGTAGTTTGCTGAGAAATAGACTTAAACACAGAGTCTTCTCTGATAGAGTCAGGAGGCAGATTAATCTGGAGCCTTGGAATCTAAGAGTTCTTGATCATCTAAGAGAAAAGCAGAATTTATGTTGGGAGAAGGGACTGGGAGAGAGGAGCCATTTATGGGGCTGGAGGAAAGACATTAATGAGTCCTGGGGCAGGGATCCTGGGTGTAAGAGTCTCTCCTGCATTGGGTGTTTTTTTTTTTGTCGAGGGAGGGGGAAGGAAGAGAACTGAGAGTAGGAGATCAGTTGTTTAAGGTGATTCATGCCATAGTTAGTCTTAATACATTCTGGTAGCTGGGCTGGGGGCAATGGCTCACATTCCTCTCAGACAGATTTTAAACATACACCACACAAAGCAGAGCACACTTCATATTCCTGTTTTCCAACAGCTGGCAGTAAGTCTTTGCTTCTGGTTTACACATGATCTGAATATTCGTTTCTAATTACATCACTTCTGCCATTAGAAAATGTACTCACCTTGCACTGACTGCTTTGGAATTTAAAAAAGATTAAAATTTGGTCCTTGTCCTGTCTGCAAAAGGTCATTGTGAAATGAGTGCAGAAGATCTGTCTGGGATCTCAGTCATTTTTTTAAAAAACCCACAACAATTATCCTTTTCAGGACTGAAGCAAATTTTTAAGAGAGCTTCAGATGCCAATGACAAAAACTGAATTTTCAGCTCCTTGGTTTCAGATAAAAAGTAGTGCGTGGGGTTAGTATATCTGCTTTCCTTTGCTGTTCAGTGATAACATCTATGTACTCACTATGAATAACCACTTTCAACCCTCCACTGGCAATGCAGGAGATTAGATGTGATGACATAGTAAATACACCTCTTCCATCTCCAGTGCCTACATTTTTATTAAGCAGAGTCCTGCTTTCTATCAAGACCCTGGATGACATTGTTCTAGCCAAGAAAGTAAAACATCCACCACATTACAGAGGTTGCTTCAGTTTAATGAATGGACTGTTCATGCTGAGGTCTGCTGCTTTTTAAAGACTTGGACTTAACAGTGATAAAACATTCAGTGCCAAATTTCTGCTCAGCAAAACTACATTGCCCCCAGTGGGATTACACTGGGGATGTATTTGGCTCCTGATGTCTCAGTGAAAGCAATCCACTGCTGACATTTCTCGCTGAAAGTAAGTGTTGTTGGCTAGTACTTCTCTCCACATCTTTTACTTGTCAAGGTCTGTAACTCTTCCATACACTGTCCCAAATCCTACCTACTCACTCCTGTGCATGAAACCATAAGTTATTGGTTTAATTTTCAAAGCTTCAGAAAGAGGCGTGGTGTTGACATTTCTTTGTGAATACAAGTTTGTTAGCTCTGTTGCCTCCTATTCTGTATTTTTCCACACTGTTTCTTCCTCATCTCCTTGTACCATCACTTCTTCCCTTTTCTCCTTAGCAGAGTCATATCAGGACACACTCCAAACTGGTTGCACAAATGGGTGCCCCTGCCTGCATTCAGGTGTGCAACAAGCTATCATTGTGTCGATATGTCAAAAAACAAGGTCTGAAACCTCTCTAAGGTCCTGGCAGCTTTATTTGTGTCACGGTCCATCAGCCCAGGTTAGTAGTAGGACTCTTGCAAAACATTTCCTGTTTTACAGTCAAGTCCTTTTTTTGTTGAAAATTTTCGGTTTTTAAATCTCTAGCTGTTATTAGATAGTTTGTGGGAAAAGTGATTTTTGCCAAGGGTGCCTTACAGAATTGATTTCTGCCACCTTGATCATAGGCTACAGTTTTATGGACCCCCCACCCCCAAAAAAACCCCCAAACAACAACATATTGTAGACCATGTTTACTATTCAAAATCACCAGTTTCCAATTAAATCTGAACATGAGTTATCATCTTGCTAGGCCCACCTCTATAGTAGACAATGGGTTTCTTTTTCAGCAAGACCAGTGGGATATGGACAATAAAGCAACTGTCACAGGGTCAGCTCACCACTAGGGCACTTCCTCCTGACCGCTCTGGGGATTAGCCCCTTCCAGGCATAGGCACCAACTTTTCCCAGCGCAGGTGGGTGCTCGAACCCCCCCTCACCCCTGCCCCATCCCA